GGGGTCGGGCCGCCCGGGGCTGGTTCCCACGTGCATCTTCCGTTGCTGGGTGGCTGGAGCCCTGGTGAGATTCTGCTGCCCGTCCGTGTAGACAGCACTGAGGTACACGGGCCAGATGATTTGGCCAACCGCCCTCCCCCCCGCGAGCCACAAAATGGTGCCCCGCCTTCCCACCCAGGGAAGAAGGGGTGAGTGAGGGGAATAGATATCCGCATCGGGGATCTGCTGCCCCTGTGGAACCTGCCGCCTGAGACGGTGGCCTCATCTGTGCCCTGAGTCTGTCTCGGGATAAGGCAGCGTCCTATGACTGGAGGTTGGATTGGCCACCTGTCATAGAACTGTAGAGTTGGAAGGGGTCCTGAGGACCATCTAGTCCAGCCCCCTGCAATGCAGGAATATGCCATTGTCCCATACAGGCGAATCGAACCTGCAACCTTGGTGTTATCAGCGCCACACTAGATGACCCTTGGGATCTCTTCCAACTCTACAATTTGATGATTCTGAGAGGTGACTAGCACATGTGGCTGCTGTGCCTTTATTGTTGGCATCCATCTGTCCCTGAGAGACAATGGAGTGCATCTCTGGGGATGAAGTCAAACTGCAGAGTGGCCTCCCCAGGGTGCAACCCTGGGCAGTGCATATGGAGGTCCTGGGCTGACAAGACCCTCCCCGCCTCCACTTGGCCTCGTTGATGTGGTCCAGAGAATAGATAGAACACTTTCGTGTCGCCTCCTCAAATGCCATGTTTCCCAGTAAAATCAGTTCCGGTGATGTGGGACCAAGAGATTGTTCAGACATGAGAGCATGAGAGTTGTTGGGCCAAATATTCCTGCATTGCAGAGGGTTCGACTAGATGATTCTTGGGGTCCATTCCAACTCTACAGTTCTATGATTCTGTGTACAACAGCTACCCCCTCCCACCCCACAATTTTTTTATATAAAAATTCTATCCTAACCTATTTCTCCAAAGCGGTTTGAGGCAGCTGGCAAACAGTAATGAAAATTGAATGAAATTGAATGAAAATTGAATGAAACAAACATAATTCTTAAAAGCACGCACACACACACATACTCTAAACACCAGTATGCTTTAAGATTGATAAATGAATTACGTACAAAGGTAAGAACATGAGAGCACTGATGGATCAGACCAAATGCCTACCTGGTCCAGCACCCTGTTCCCACAGCGGGCAACTGCTGTAGTTGCCTCTGGGAAGCTACTGGTATTCAGAGTCATGCTGATTCTGATAACTTTATCCTTGTGGCCTCAAATGCCATAGTTTTAACTGCACCCTTGTCAGATAATTTATTTCCTTTTTGTCCGTCCTGAACCTCCCACCCTTCAGCTCCATCGGATATTGATTTATCTAATTTCTATATTGCCCGTTATCCAAAGTTCGCAGGGCAGTTTAAAATATAAGAACACAAAAATACACAATGTAGTAGCCAACAAAAACAATAACCCCACCCCGTCACTCCCAGGATGGATGCCTCTGATCTCATAACATATGAAGTAGGAAGAAAAACTTTCTTATCCACCTTCTCCATACCACACATGGTTTTATAAAGTTCTGTCATCTACAGTACCTCAATAGGGTAGGACACGAACCAATGGCTTCAAGTTACAAGAAAGGAGATTCCAACTAAACATGGGAAAACTTTCTGACAATAAGAGCTGTTTGACAGTGGAACAGACTCCCTCAGGAGGTTGTAGACTCTCCTTTCTTGGAGGTTTTTAAGCAGAGATTGGATGGCCATCTGTCATGTATGATTCATGCATTGCAGTGGGTTGGAGTAGATGGCCCTTGTCACCTCTTCCAACTCTACAAATCTATGAAAATAATGTAGGTGAAATGAGTGAAAATGTATAGTTAACACCTTTCTATCCTGGCTTTCCTGCAAGGGTCTCAGGACCAGTGGTCCACAGTAGTCCTTTTCTCCACATTTTATCTTCACAAGAATCCTGTGAGGGAGGTTAGGCCGAGAAAAAATGAATGGCCCAAGGTTACCCAGTGAGCTTTGCGGTTGAGAGGGAAATTTGAACCTGGTTCTCCCCAGTCTTCCAGGTATACGGAGCTCATCACAGCATGTTTTGGGTGTAATAGATGACTATTGCATTTTCCCACTGCAGTGGTCACGCTTTTTGTTGGATGATTAATAAGAAAGCACATGTCCAAAGGCTGCTCCTTTGGTTTACTCACCAGTCCCTGTGAGAAGAATGTGCTGCTTCTGCCTATCTGTCCACTCCTGTTTCATCTCTTTCAATGGGTCCTTAACTCTGAAGACACATTTCTGCTTTGTTTTGACCACTTTCAAAGGAAAAGAGCTCCCTCTTCTGTCAATGCACTGTACAGAGAAACTTGGCATCTGCAGGAAGAATGAGATTTTGTCTCTGTGTTTGTGTGTTGGGAAATCACAATCCATGATGTAATGTAACTCTACCTTCCTTCCACTGGAATGTGCAAAGTTCCCAAAGGGAGGAACAGAAAGGAAGCATCCGTGGTGTGGGATTGATGGGAAGCCTCAAGCTCATCCTTCCCATGTGCTGGAGTCACACTTTAAATATTCCCAGCTCTGCTTCTCTTCATCCAGCCAAGTGAATTTGCAACAGGCAGGAATTAATACAGTTCCATTTGCTTACTTGCCTTTCTAAAGGGCTGCCAGGCATATTTTGGTTTATGGTTTTGACCGGCTTTTTAGAGTGGCAGGCTGGGCACTAGATCACTCCATGGACAATTAGTTCTGTGGTTTTGTAGCTTTGGTTTTTGTTAGTTTTATTTTTGTCCGTGTTTCAGTGGGTATTACATTAATTTCATTTTCATAATATGCTCTGAGCTATGGAAAACGGCCACAAAAATATTTTAAACCAGGGGTGGGGAACCTTTTCATCCTGTGAATTTGGCAAACTGCATTATTGGGGAAACTGACACAAAAAATAAAAGTAGCAAGAGGCTAAAACAGGCTTCCTCAAACTTGGCCCTCCAGATGATTTTGGCCTACAACTCCCATGATCCCTAGCTAGCAGGACCAGTGGTCTGGGATGATGGGAATTGTAGTCTCAAAACATCTGGAGGGCCGAGGTTGAGGTAGAAGAAACACAGCATTTATGCCATTTGGTGTGGTTGCATTGATTATACAAATAATGAGGTATATTGAAGAACAGTACCCATCCTTTATAGCACAGTTTGGTGTGCATGAAGTATATATGTTTGGTGTGCATGAAGTATATATGTATATATGTTACTTTTCCCTTCTCCCTATGAATTCCTATAAATTCAAATCGTTATCGATTCAAAACATATTTAACTTAATCTCTTTCACCCCATGTGCTTCTCTTTTAAGGTGGCAATCCTATGTAGGTTTACCTGGGAGTAGGAACAGTCGTCAAGTTCTGTTTTATCATAGAATCATAGAGTTGGAATAGACCACAAGGGCCATCGAGTCCAACCCCCTGCCAAGCAGGAATCACCATCAGAGCGCTCCTGACATGTGGTTGTCAAGCCTCTGCTTAAAGACCTCCAAAGAAGGAGACTCCACCACACTCCTTGGCAGCAAATTCCACTGTCCAACAGCTCTTACTGTCAGGAAGTTCTTCCTAATGTTTAGGTGGAATCTTCTTTCTTGTAGTTTGGCTCCATTGCTCCGTGTCCGCTTCTCTGGAGCAGCAGAAAACAACCTTTCTCCCTCCTCTATGTGACATCCTTTTATATATTTGAACATGGCTATCATATCACCCCTTAACCTCCTCTTCTCCAGGCTAAACATGCCCAGCTCCCTTAGCCGTTCCTCATAAGGCATCGTTTCCAGGCCTTTGACCATTTTGGTTGCCCTCCTCTGGACACGTTCCAGTTTGTCAGTGTCCTTCTTGAACTGTGGTGCCCAGAACTGGACACAGTACTCCAGGTGAGGTCTGACCAGAGCAGAATACAGTGGCACTATTACTTCCCTTGATCTAGATGCTATACTACTATTGATGCAGCCCAGAATTGCATTGGCTTTTTAAGCTGCCGCGTCACACTGTTGGCTCATGTCAAGTTTGTGGTCAACCAAGACTCCTAGATCCTTTTCACATGTACTGCTCTCAAGCCAGGTGTCCCCCATCTTGTATTTGTGCCTCTCATTTTTTTTGCCCAAGTGCAATACTTTACATTTCTCCCCGTTAAAGTTCATAAAGTAAAGGAACCATTGATGAGCACCCTTTGGGTTCGGTCAGTCAGCCAGTTACAAAATCAGAGAGATTCTCAGTAGCAAGAACAGCTTTCTTGGGGGGACACCTATTGCAATGCCTGTCATTTAAAAACAAAGCATACTTTCCCTCATTCTTTAGGCGAAACTGAAAAATTGTGCAGAAATAACTCGTGAACTGATTAAGGTGCTCTGCAATCAGTTTCGGGTTCTAATGAGCCGAGTGCATTTACAACACATCCTTGGATGGATGAATCCGAGCTGTAGAAACTAACAGATGCCGTCCCCAGGGAGTACTCTGTGTGTGTGTGTGTGTGTGTGTGTGCGCGCGCGCGCGCATGATTCCAACAGTTTGACTCTTCTTTTAACTCTTGAGAGAAGAAACGATTCGTTTTGCTCAAGGGGTTTTATTTTGCATGCATTTTTTTGTAGATAAACTAACAAGGCACCGCGAAAGGGGAAAAAACAATTGCGCCCAACGTGGGGCTCGAACCCACGACCCTGGGATTAAGAGTCCCATGCTCTACCGACTGAGCTAGCCGGGCACTACGTAAAACTGCTTCCCAGAAGGGTTGTTGGTCTACTTGAGCTACGCGTGCGTGCTCCCATCTGTTTCTCCCCCGACTCTGACGAGCGTGCGCGCGCGCGCTCCGCCCTTTCCTGCAGTGACTCGGCGGTCTCTACACGAGTGCGCACGCAAGGCGTTCGTGGCTCCGCCCTCCGGCCGCAAAACAGCAGCGTGAAAGGCCATTGGCCAGGAGCGCGGAGTGCCCGTCCAATGGGCGGGCGCGTTGTTGAGCGGTGGGTGAGAAGCGCGAGCGGGTGGCTGCCTGAGGGGGTCTCGGGAGGCGAAGGGGAAACGCAAGCAGGCCGGCTGGTGAGGAGGCGGAGGGAACGGTTGTTTCGGCTTTCGGCTCTCCGCCGCCATGAGTTCCATCGGCACCGGGGTGAGTGACCCCTGAGGGGAAAGGGAAGCAGCGGCGGGGGAGCGCTCTCTCTGGGCGAAGCCCCTGAGGGGCTCGGGGGCTCGGAATGCGGGCGAGGCAGGAAGAAAGGGCGGCCTTCTTTCCCCTCAGCGGACTCTGTCGCGGAAGGGGGTCTGCGAGGAGAGGCGTGTGACGTCACATACATGCGCGGGGTGGGGGGGGAGGAGGATTGTGCTACTGCTGCTGAGTCACTTTGGGGAAACCGAAAGCAAAAGGCCTTTTGGGGAGAAGCTGGGAGAGGAGGGGAGACATGGAACTTGATTAAAAGATGTGCATCCTTTAAATCAAGGGTCAGAAAACTTTTTCAGCAGGGGGCCGGTCCACTGTCCCGCAGAAAAAGAATGGATTCCTATACCCCACAAATAACCCAGAGATGCATTTTAAATAAAAGCACACATCATTCTCATGTAAAGCACCAGGCAGGCCCCACAAATAACCCAGAGATGCATTTTAAATAAAAGGACACATTCTACTCAAGTAGAAACACACTGATTCTTGGACCGTCCGCAAACCGGGTTGAGAGGGCAATTGGGCTGCATCCAGCCCCCGGGCCTTAGTTTACCTACCCATGCTTTAAATTAGCAGCAGGGAGACTCTCTGGTCTGTTGACCAGTGTTCCCCTGGCAAGGGTCTAATTTGGCCCGCTAAGTCCATCCCCCCCCCCTACCAAACGCCAGCCTGCTCCATACAAAATGTCATATCATTTTATGGATTACAAATCTTTATATAATAGGGCTTAACGCTATAATTGAGATGCTTCGCCTATTTCTTAGTTACTGCTTTGCTAAGTGTTTTATAGATTGTAATTGTTTCATTGATGTTTCGTTGATTTATGATTTATGCTGTTCTTGTGATGTTTTGTTATGTTGTTGTTGCTTGTTTGTAAGCCGCTTTGGGATTCATGTCTTCGGAAAGAGGCGCAGAAATATAATCAAACTTGTATGCACAAGACCTTGTGTGGAGTAATTAAAGTTACTATTATCATCAATTTTTAAACCGCTTAATCACAAATGTCTCTAAACGGTGTACCAAAAAAACCCTCGATGAGCATAAAAATCAAAAGTCAGTTAAAACTTTCCTGGATTTATTTATTTTTTATGTATTTGGGAAGTTCAACAGGACAGGGGCCTATCTGACATCAGCCAGGAGCCTTAAAGTGCTGTTTTGATTGTTGCCTGGCAAGCAGGGTGCCTTTTAAGTTCCAATTGGGCACCTCATAGTACTGTATTTTTCGCACCAAAGGACGCACCTTGTTTTAGAGGGGGGAGAACAAGGGGAAAAAATTCTTCCACTCTCTGCCCAGCGCCCCTTCAGTGAAGCGGCAGGAGGCGCTGCGCAGAGAGTGGGAGAATTTCCCCCCTCTTGTTTTCCCGCTCTAAAACAAGGTGCCGTTTAAGGTGCGTTCAGGCGGCTACCTTGGAAGCCTGGAGAGCGAGAGGGGTAGGTGCGCACCGACCCCTCTCGCTCTCCAGGCTTCAGGTTCCTTTCGACCTGCTCTTTGGGGCTTGCGGGGGGAAGCCCACTACCAGCCCCAAAGAGCAGGTCAGGGAGCAGCGGAAAGGCGCAGCAGAGAGGCTGCTGCCATAGTCATGCGTCACTTCTCCAGCTGGGAGAGGGTTGCGGGGCTATGGCTTCTTTAGCCCTGCGCGCGCTCTCCCGGCTGGAGAGGTGACGCACGCCTATGGAGGCTCCTGCCATAGGCACGCGTCACCTGGGAGAGGGTCGCGGGGGGCTTCTTTAGCCCCGCGCGCGCTCTCCCAGCTGGAGAGGTGACGCGTGCCTATGGAGGCTCCTGCCATAGGCGCGCGTCACCTCTCCAGCCGGGAGAGGGTCGCGGGGGGCTGCTTTAGCCCTGTGTGCGCTCTCCCGGCTGGAGAGGTGACACGCGGCTATAGAGGCTCCTGCCATAGCCCCGCGTTACCTCTCCAGCCGGGAGAGGGTTGCAGGGCTATGGCGTCTTCGCTCCATAGGACGCACACACATTTCCCCTTCATTTTTGAAGGGGAAAAGTGCGTCCTATAGAGCGAAAAATACGGTACAACTGATCCCTGCAGAAAGTGCAGGTTGCAAATGACACTAACAACTATAACACCTGGGATTGGTCACGTTAGAAGATTTCCTATTCAAGGGTCCTGGACTGCAGTCTTTCCTGGCCAAAATCAAGGGTTGTCTTTGCTGCTGATCAGTGCTAACACAACCCTTACCTGGAATTGTTTTAAGAAACAGGAAAGTAGATGGCTAACCTGTTAAGTATATTTTTGTATTTTATATAACGTTAAAGGATCATGAAGGATCTGGCTTTCTTGAAGTGGATGGAAATGTATCAAACTGTGGGGTGGTCTACACATGGGTTGTTTGGAGGGAGTGGGTGGCGCTGTGGTCTAAACCATTGAGCTTCTTAGTGAGCTCCTTCGCTCTGCCCCAGCTCATGCCAACCTAGCAGTTTGAAAGCATACCTGTGCAAGTAGATAAATATGTACTGCTGCAGTGGGAAGGTGCGCTCTGGCACTAAGATTTGTTTGGCCTCCCCACCCCATTGAGCTATAAAGTCATGAGGACCAATCTATGTCATGGTGTGATGTGCAAACTCTGCCACTTTCTCAAACTTTAAGCAAGCTTTCATTAGAACAGGCTTTGTCTACTGCTGCAAACTTCAATGTTTAGCACTGCAATCCTTTCTGAGAAGCTTTTACATTAGCTTTTAGGCTGGGCCAGCCAAAGGCCTATGAACTTAAGAAAAAATATATTAATTAACATCCACACCCAACACCTGAAACAATGACCTGGATTTTCCATTGTATAATGTGTGAAATGGTATTTTAAGATGAAAAGTTGAAATGGAAGAAAGTCACTGCAGTTCTTGGTTGGCCAGGAGAGGTAGCTGTTGACTCGAGAAGACACAACTTAAATCATTTTTTTGAATTGGCATTTTCAGATATTTCCTAAATATAAAAAGTATGTAATGAATTGCTTGAATCCTATATTGTGCCATTTCTAAGTGTATGTTCATATTCTCATATATATATATATATATAGCTTTGCAATTTCAGAAAATACTGCAAGTATGTGCACTTAATAATTATTGCTTGCTCTTATTTATTTATGTGAGAGTTACAACAAAAAATTAATTACACAAAACATACATTCTATTTTTATGTCAAACATGAATATTTATTTGGTTCAGTATGCATATATTTCAAACATCTTTTTCTTTCTCTTTCCTTATAAGAGAGCCTACAAATGTTAAACTGATGGTCAGACCCAGCAATTGTTAGCTACATAGAAGCTTAGTTCTCTAAGGCTGCAACCTTAATTTTGAACTGTGTGGGACTCAGTGCTCAGTAAATATGCTTGGAATTAGAAGTTGGCTTTCTATAGGCCATTGCCCCCAGATTTTCAATTATTGGGCAGAATGATTTCTTCCATTATTGCATTTGTTTCATGTGTAAATCATAAAATACATAGTTTTAACTGATTTTTATTTTGTATTCTATCTATTGCAGTTAACCGCTTAACAACAAACATATGTTGTTTAAATTAAATAAAACAAATATTCATAGTTTGAGAAATGTGCAAATTTAGAGATTGTTTTTATAGTAGGAGAGCAACACACCTTATTTATACAGCGGGGTAGGCAATGAAATTGACTAAGGAATCCCAGTTCCACTGCCTCTTGCTGTTCTTTGAAAAAAAGCTACAAATGTATGCGTCTCTTTTGCAGTATGACTTGTCGGCATCTACATTTTCTCCAGATGGCAGAGTGTTTCAAGTAGAATATGCTATGAAAGCTGTGGAGAATAGCAGGTAAGAGTAAGACCTGTTATTTATTATTTATTTAAAAAACCCTTTTTAAAATGACCAAAACCCTGATATACAACTTAATGTTAAAAAGAACACTTTTGCAGAGACTAAACAGTAGAATTTACAAATGAAGTTGCTTTATACTGCATCATACCACTAGACAATATACCCCAGTATAGCCTCTTTTGACTGGCAGTAGATTCTCTTTAGTGGGTTGGGAAGTTTCCAGTTCACAGGCCTAGTTAGGCCTGGCATGTGGTCCCTGAGACAATCGTCCACAAATGGTGACCCTCTGCTATCATGTATGATGGGTATAAGCAGGTAAGAACACAGATCCAAGGCAGTAATTGGCTGAAAATGAGTGCTATTTGTGCAAGCCCTGCTTTGTTCGCAACACATTTTGAACCTTAACTGCACCCACAAATGAACTTCAGAAGGGCTTGCTGCAGCAGCTGATTGGCAGTTACACTGAGCGCCTCTGAAGTTGTCATCGTGACATTACTCTGACATGTGATTGATAGGTCAGAGTTGATCTACGGGGCGTGCAGTACTGAAGGATCCAGCCCACTAGCCATGTACACTTCCCCACTCCTGGTTGTATAGCGTCAGACAAAGATATTTTCTATTACATGCTGCTACCTGGTTCTGCATGCAAAGCATGGGTTTCTCCACAGAACTGCAGGTCCTTTTATTTGCCCAAGAGGCTCAGTGGTTTTGACCACAGTGCCACCTGTGTCTCTCATAGTCACCTTTAACTGGACTACACCACCCAGTGGTTCTTTACCTACCTTTACCTGCTTTTATTTGTATGTGTTCTGACCTCTTGAATTCTGTGAAATCATTCTTGTACCTTGCTTACATGGGAGTAAGTCCCATTTGGAAGTGAAGTTGGGTTTTAGCCTTACAGCCTGCCATCATGCATTTTTACTCAGAGGTAAGTCACAGTGTGAAGCCTCTGTTTTCATTAAAATCAACCAATGTTTTGCTCTGAACCTCTGTGGGAACAGGATTGCTGCTTTTTCATTGTTCCACCTTGGCAGATACATGATGTGATAGCAGCTAGTCAAACTAATTTCAGTCGAACCTACTTTCATCTAAAGCCCAGTCTGTGCATATTTCCTCAGAGATACTTACTCACATGGAAGTGTGTCTAGGACTGCAGCTGACAGCTATCAAATTCATTTGGTTCGATGATTTTTTAAAAAGTTGCATGGTGGTGTAAAACTTTAGCTTTAAAAAGTTTGGATATTGCTGAAGTCAGTGTATACACATATGATTTTCTTAGGAAATCAGTGTCTTTGAAATGTATTGTTTCATTCAGGCTATATTTTCATGCCATAAGGAGGAAGCTTTTTAAAAACAGTGCAGTGAGGTTGCACATAGTAGGCAAGCTAACACATGCTGCATTGGTGGTTCAAAATGTTAGTGCTATACAGTACTAAGTTGAAGTTCTGTCAAAATGGATAGGATTCAAGTAATGTGTCCCATCAGTGGAAGCCCTGCTCCAGGACTTCAACTTGTTTAACCAGGGCTTCCCTCTTTCCTCTGCTTGTGCCCCCACCCTATTAGCTCTGTGGGAGTTGTTGGAACCCCCAGAACAGGGAGGGGGGTTAATGAGAGGGTTGGGTGTTCTGACTGGAAAGTCAACGCATGTGACCTAGCAGAACAATTGCCTTAGCTTGATGTTGAATTCCTCCCACAGTACATGTGTATGTTTTCTCGACTGTATTTGATAGTAGTAGCTTTTTATCTTGATCCAGTACTGTCCTAAAAAGATGAAAATTTGAATAAATACTAAAACCGTAATATTTTAGTTCCAAAGCCATATAATATACCTTGTGGTTCTCTTATAAGCGTCATGTTCAGGCCTTTCTTGAACTGGCCTAGTTTTCATCACTTGCAGATACCATTTATTGTAGATTAGTCATGTGGTTTGTTTTTTTAATTAATTAGGTTGGTTTTTATTGATGTTTCTTAAAGAACTGTTAACCTGTTTTTCCTTGAACACCTTCTGATTGAAAATGCGACTGAAAAGTCCTAGCAAGAAATACTTTTAACTGATTACTGTATCGTAACTTTTTTTTCAGTACAGCAATTGGGATACGGTGTAAAGATGGTGTAGTCTTTGGAGTCGAAAAATTAGTTCTGTCCAAACTGTACGAAGAAGGATCCAACAAACGCCTCTTTAATGTCGATCGACATGTTGGAATGGTGAGTTGTTCCTCAGTATCTTAGAGCATTCATTGCCATTTAGCACGTGCTGAGGCTTATCCCCCTGTCAAATGGCCTCTTGGATAAGCCACTGGTAACTTTTAGCTTGTAACCAGGAAGGAAAGCTGGAGGCGTCGACTTGCAAGGGTGGAAATGCTAGTTTGACCAGTTTTGGAAACATGTGCCTGGCAATCATGTGTCTGTTGTAAAGGCTAATGCCAGAGAGATACACGGGGAGTGTGGTATGTTGACTCAAATTTCTGTTTTGATTTTTGTTGTAAGACGGCTGATGTTTATTTCAGGCGGTCGCAGGACTTCTGGCTGATGCCCGTTCTTTGGCTGACATAGCAAGGGAAGAAGCTTCTAACTTCAGATCCAACTATGGTTATAATATTCCATTGAAAGTAAGGGGCTTTGTTTCTTTTTGCTTCTATCCGTATGCAACTTATGAAAAGCACAGCATGCTTCAGATGCTTTGCAGGAAACTTATTTAAAAATATTTCCAGTGCTCTTACCATTCTTCTTTCTTCCCTCCTCCCCAACAGCATCTTGCAGACAGAGTGGCTATGTATGTACACGCCTATACTCTGTACAGTGCTGTCAGACCTTTTGGTTGCAGGTAAGAGCTTTTATTCATTTATACTGCAATTCACAACACACTTGCCAACCAGACTTCAGACCAAATAGTAACTTAAAATGTGTGTTGGTATATGAGAAAAATACATTTGTAAAACACAATTTAAAAGCCTTTATCTCTGAGCGCTAAATGCACAATCAAGTGAAGATGCTCTGCTGGATTCTTGCAAGTTTCAGAAGGCAAGATCTCCAGATCTAAGGAATGCACTCTTGCTGCTTGAACTTGGAAATCTGGATTGCTTCCTTCACACAACCTCTTAAAAAATCCACCAGGACTGCTTAAGAGTGAAAAAGAAAAGGAAGGCATCAGCCAAAAGGGGAGGGGCAAGGAGGGAGGCAGGAAAAACACAACCTGGTGCTAGATGAAGAGTTTAGCCAGGCATGTTTTGACAGAGTCCTTCCTCAAGGGGAAATAATTAACTTCTGCTTTCAAAAAGGTGCGTCCTCTGGGTTCTGTTGGATTATATTCAAAATGTGTCGCGGTGTGTTTTATCCAAATTCTTTCCTATCAGCATTACTAAGAATATTCAATGGCTTGGATCCAGACCTGCTGTTCCACTCTTTCTGTTTGTGTGTATTGGATCCAACTGAAACTGCTCCTCTTTTGAAGCATCTCTGAAAGTCTCTTGGCTGAAGAGTGGGGTTTTTTAAAAGGCTTTAAAAATGAGTTCTGCCCAGTTTCTTCTCTCACATTATTTTTGAGGGCTTGCCAACCTTCCAGAGCAGACTTTTGGAGGCAGTGAGGGACTGCATGGTGAGAGGAATTTTCAGAAAATGCCTGTCTTTCCTCTGCTCAAGGGAGCATCCAGTTTGCAGAGTTCCACTTCATGCAATTCCGGATCCAAGTCCAGCCCAATATACCCACAGTTCACTAGTAAGAATAGGTTAAATCCTATTCTCTCCTCAGTATGTGACCTAGAAATATATGCATACCTTATTTAAATCAGCATAATAAAAAGGGTTGCCCTTATAATTTCTGATTTGGAATAACAAATATTGGACATCTTAACCTTTCTATTAAAATTATGAGTATGCTAGAAGCTAAAAAAATATTGGGAATCTTAACAAGTACCCATGGGTCAGCAAAACATACCTTAAGAACATCCCCACGTTCTTAGGCAACCATTCTCAACTTGACATAGTCCACATGTAATAATTTGGGAAGATATTTATTTGTGCTGTTCCGCCACGAACAGAGCTTTTCCAGTAAGTGTTATCTGAGTGAAGAGAAGTGTGGCAGAACTATATTTACCATTTGGCAAGGTGATGCCTATGGTAGGCAAGTTATAGTAGTTAAATATGAACCCAATGGTACATTACAAAATAGGGTGGCAAGTACAGAAGTTTCCCATCCCAATAGAAACGTCTCTATGTTAGTCGTGGGCTGTGGCTTGTGCAGCTGATTTCAGTGAAACTTTCCTAAATTGCTTACTTGGAAGTAGGCCTCATTGAGCTCAGTGGTACTTCCTGTTAAGTGTTTGTAGGATTGCAGACCTTTTGTCATTTATTCTCTGTCTGGCAGTTCCTCTTCAACAAAACCTTTTACATTTTCAGCTTCATGTTGGGTTCCTATGATGGTGATGATGAAGGTGCTCAGCTATACATGATAGACCCATCAGGCGTTTCATACGTGAGTTAAATCTTCATAGGTGGGGAACAGTTAGTAGATAGGCAGTTGTGTGACTCTTGCTCATCCACTGAAGTCCTTTAGTTTAAAGTGATTGGGGCAGCAGGGAGCAGCTGGCAGTTGGTCTTGGGCTGCTTACTGACCCCTAGTCCAGAAGGTCACCAGATGTTCAGTATACAGTCATAGCTCGGGTTGAAAACGCTTCGAGTTGAGCGGGTTTGAGCTGCGCTCTGCAGCAACCCGGAAGTAACGGAGTGCGTTACTTCTGGGTTTCGCGGCATGCGCAGACTCTCAAAATGACGTCATGTGCAGAAGCAGCAAAAAGCGATGTGCGCGTGCGCAGACGTGCCGTCACTAGTTACGTTTGCTTCTAGATGCGAACGGGGCTCCGGAACGGATCCCGTTCGTATCTAGAGGTACCACTGTACTTGTGCCGGTCTCTGGAATGGGACTGACACAGTATGAACTTCGTCTGAATTAAGGTTAGGACTGCACTGCTGTTTGATAAGGCACATGCATGCATTTGTTTGTGACATTACAACACTGTGTAAAACGTTTGCAATAATTACAGATATTGTTTGGTTTAAAGTTGTTCCTGTTGCATTTACAGGGTTATTGGGGATGTGCCATTGGAAAAGCAAGACAAGCTGCAAAGACAGAGATTGAAAAGCTCCAGGTAAGGCATTGCCTTGTGACTTAGCTTCTAAACAAACATCCCAGGTGTCTCTGAAACATTTTTTCCACAGGGCAGGAATTTTCTGGGTTTATTAATCCAGGTATCTAGAAGTGTTGCCTTCTCAGTAAAATACTGGACTGCTGTCACCAGTTCAAACTTGACCTTCCAAGAGCTTTGTGAATAACAAGGATGTGTGTAGATATAATCTTGGTTCTTCAGGAATTAGATTGGTGCAGAAATGAGCTTCCTGAGAATCTAGATAGACTTTATTTCACACTTAACATTGGGTTTGTGAGCTTTATTTGAGAACACAGTAAACACAATAGTATGTGATTAAAATGCTCACTGTATTTGTATATCTACAGATGAAAGATATGACTTGCCGTGATGTTGTTAAAGAAGTTGCAAAAATGTAAGTTTCTTACAGTTGGTTTGGGTTGATTCACTGGGGCAGTTCTTACATTGAATTGTCTTTGGATGATGGGCTGGGATCTAGCAGTTAAGACAAAATGGACTTTCTGATTACATCCATATTATGACCCTATTCGATTTCAAACTACTTTAAGGCTATGCATTTCATACTCATAATTTTATATTTTTGTGTGAAAGTCTACATAGCTAAGGGATTAATTATTTAGATGTTGAAAGTGTGAGTGAACTTTCTATTTGGAGGGTGGATTCAACTTTTGATAGGTGATCGGTTTCACGTGTAATGCTATACCAAAAATCCTGGCTTATTGCTTCACTCCTCCCTTGCTGAAAGCTCCCATCTAATCCTGACTTGTTTACAAGCCATGGGAAGCTATGTTTCAAGTGCTGAATCCTGGCTTATTTTACTGCTTGTGCAAAGGGAGGTATGAAGAAGCAATTGTGTACAGCTTTCTTTAAACACTAACATAAATTAAATCATGTCAAATAATTCTAAAAGAGGACCCTTTTAGAAGCATTTTATCTCCAGTAAGTAACAGAGGAGCCAGAGTTTTCATGTGATTTTTAGGAGTCCTGCAATTGTGACGTGCATGTTTCTGAGTATATGCTCTCTTCTGAATGTATGTAAAAACTGTTTACTATTGAGCTCCTCCCGTCCCAAAGCTGTAAGTGGGTTCCTACTATACTTCTTGATAGATACTTGGAACTAACTAATTTTTTTGTGTTTATGTTTTCTAGAATCTACATAGTCCATGATGAAGTAAAAGACAAAGCTTTTGAACTTGAACTCAGCTGGGTTGGAGAAAGTAATGTATCGTTCAAATCTTCTCTTCCTTCATTACTGTTTGCTGCTTTATGAAAATAGTTAATTTTGTAACTTCCCGTGATTTTCCCTTAGTTAACAGCGTATCTAAAACAAAGAACCTGTGTCCCTCCAGATGCTGCCAGCCTTGAACTCATATCATCCCTGACTATTGGCAGGGGTTGTTGGGAGATTGGAGGCGAACAACATCTTTCGGGTCTCTGGTTCCCCACCCTTGACTTAAAATTGAGGACATGTGCCCTTGTATGAGGGTACATAATCTAAATACCATGGCTGTATACAAGTCTGCTCAGGAGTAGATCCATTGAAATCAGAAGCCGTGACTCAAGTCTGTTGGTTTTAATGAGTCTACTATATGACTATAGCCCATACTGTTTTTCAGAAAACAGTACCACAAAATGAGTTTGTGGCACATTTGTATATGACGTTGCCTTTGCTTCAAACTCAGAAGATAGGTTTGCATTCTAAAAAAAATAAATAAAAATTTCCTCTTTAATTCATAGTAACCAAGGGAAAACATGAAATTGTCCCAAAAGACATTAAGGAAGAAGCAGAGAAATACGCTAAGGTAAGTGCTGGAACTTCACTGTCTGTTGTAGATAGGAAGCTGCATTAGACATCATACATTGGTACATCTTGCTCAGTAGTCTATTCCAGCTGGCAGTAGCTGTCCAGATTTCAGGCAGGGAATGGTCCCAGCCCTGCCTGGATGTGCCAGGGATTGAACTGGGGACCTTCTGCTTACATACCTGGGAGGAAAACGTATCTTCCAATTCCTCTTAAGTAATTTTGGTTTACAAAAGATAATCTGGTCCATAAATCTTAAAATACCAAAACAAAAAAAAATTCCTTCCAGTAGCACCTTAAAGACCAACTAAGTTAGTTCTTGGTATGAGCTTTCGTGTGCATGCACACTTCTTCAGATGTATCTGAAGAAGTGTGCATGCACACGAAAGCTCATACCAAGAACTAACTTAGTTGGTCTTTAAGGTGCTACTGGAAGGAATTTTTTTTGTTTTGACTATGGCAGACCAACACGGCTACCTATCTGTAACTTAAAATACCAGTTACCTTTAAGTGGAGAACTGATGATGCAGGCTGCTGTAGAATTTGTGTGCTTTTATGTAAAGTAGGTATAAAATGTCAGCTATTTATTTTTTTATTTTATTTTATTTTTTAAAATGTCAGCTATTTAATTCCACAAATTGTGAGCACAGGTAGATTCCTGGTGTATGTATAACATGTGGGGTGCTGTCTGTTAGCACGGAAGCAGTAGGACCTGATCTTTTCTCTTTTATTTCTACAGGAATCTCTGAAAGAAGATGATGAATCAGATGATGAAAATATGTAACACATTGTTACTTTAAAACAAATGTTTTAATCTGTACCACAGGCCTGTGTATGTATTTGCCATGATGTATGTGCTGGAAGACTATTTTGAGTGACCAACTTGCACTAAAAATTTTTCCAATTACTGTTTATATTTGAGTATCAATTATTTGTTCAAAGGCTAGGACAGGGTAACTGTACAATGAGAGCAAGGGCTTGATGGAGAAACGTAATGAAAATAGGAAGATATACCTGGCTAGGAGCCAAAGAAACTTTGTGCACTGATGAGGACTTGGTTTGTGTTCAAATGCCACAACTGTCTTTCCCCTCTTCAGTGCTACCTAGCAAACCCGTTTGAAATTTCCAAAAGCAAATTGGTTGTTGCATGGGTGGTGGTGTGGAGAAAGTATGTTGTTGAAGGAAAAAAGTTTAAAATCACATTGAGCACCCTGATGTAGCATGCTAGATTGCACCCACCACTCCCCAGCCCTGTTGAATCCAGGCCTTAAAGAAATGGTAAAAAACCTGCTCCCTCCTGTCAGAAGGTAGCAGCCCAGATTCCTGGTCATACAAAGAACATCGGCTGTATACTACAACTGGACAAGTTTATTATTCAACCTCCCTACCTAGCAGTCCAGTTTTCCTGTTGTCTGGATTGGATTATAGTAAATATGATTACTGCTGCTGTGAGATTGCAAGTACTCATGCAGTTTGTAAAAAGCTTGTATAAAGCATGAACAATATGTATCTGTCTGAAAAGCCACACTTGCTATATAGTAAGATGTCACACTCAAGCTTTATCTTTCCTCTTCCAATTCAGCAGGTGGGGTGGCTTGAGGGCAAATAGTGAGCCTGAAGCTTGGTCATGCTTGAATAGAAGGGATCTGACTAATGCTGTTGGATATCGATTTATGGCTTCATGTAACAGCGTGGTGGTTGTGAAAACATAATCTGAGCCCTAGTTGGGAGAAGAAAATTGTTGCAGTATTTTGTGCAGTATTTTTGTGTATTTTGTGCTTTAGTGTGTTGATCACTTTCAACTAATTTTTGCAGTGGCTGGAAAATGCTATGATTTTACAGTGAGATTTTCACACCGGATTCTTAAGAGAGAAACCAGAACTTTGTGCTCCGATGAGATTGCTGTTGTTCAAAAACTAAACTTTCCAATTTATTGCACTTGTTTAGATGGCAATGCTTACACAAGGATGCTTGTATGAAAAAAAACAATTTTTTTACCTGAGAACCCTCCAGGGCAAATTTGGGAGGAGCCTAGCATTTCCTGTCCAGAAAGTTGTTTTCAGCCCAGTCAGCACATTAAGCCACCATTTCACCCACTTTTGATTAACATCTGCACAAAATACAAAAGCTTGCTCACTATTTTGTGACAATCTTGGCATTCATGAATATTTCAGATACTTAGCCAATTGCTTACACTGACTATAGATGCAGGTGGTCCAGCCACATGCCTTTGAGGCCATAAGTGGGGGCATGGGATGCTAAGTATCTCATGTTCTTCCATCTCCTCTTACAGTCAGAGCCAACTTGTGTACTCGGCTGCCCCTGTGAATAACAGGATTATTTTAACATTCTCCTCTCCCACAGCAGCTTTCTGCCACCATTTACACAAATCAGTACATGGACTGAAGCATTTCTTACATGATCCTGTTTAGTGTTGAATAATTTAGTATTCAAGTTCTTGAATGAGCACTAGTTTTGAAGTAGATGCCAGTGGTGGGATATTTTTGACTACTTTCCTACATCTATTGAAAAAAAAAGTAAGGTGAAAGGAAACATTTTTACCAATTAAGTGTTATCATACTTCTATGAATTTATGGTAGAATCCTGATTGCAGCTTCCTACTGGGAAGATACTGAACCACACAATATTTATTAATGATAGTTCAGCTGACCAGTGGCAGTGTCACTTGACTCACTACTACTTCCTGTTCCTTAAAAAAGAAAAAAAAGGTTCTCAGTGTGTTTACAGTGCTGTACTCAAGACCATGTTTCCACTTTCTCATGTCAGTCATGGCATCCCCAAACCACAGCCCTGCTTACGTCATAAATTAGTGTGACTAAGCAGGAAGCAAACACATGCAAACCAGCACTGTGTGATTCACAGCACAAAGCCACTTAAGGATAATTTGTACGTAATATGTTGTAAAGGAGAGGAGTTGGTAGGTGCAATCCAGCAGGTATGAGAAACCTCTTTACTAATGTAGGGCAAGCTTCTCCTACCTCTGTGAATGGGGAACCTTCACCCCAAGAGCCCGCATTCACTCAAGTGCAGGAGTCACATGCCGGTAGTAGAGATCAGCAGTAAAATAGTCACAGCAATAGATGGGACTTTTAATTTTATAGAGTAGACTATATTCTTCAGATTTACACACAGCCAGACAATAAGCAGCATCAGCACAATTCAGTGATACCTTCCAAACAGGCAAAAGCTGAGCAGGGCCAGTGAACGATGGTCTAGACCAGCGTTTCCCAAACTTGGGTCTCCAACTGGTTTTGGACTGCAACTCCCATCATTCCTAGCTTGCAGGACCAGTGGTCAGGGATGGGAACTGTAGTCCAAAAACAGCTGGAGACCCAAGGTCTCATTAAAAAAATGAGCTCTAGTTCTCCTAAATTAAGAGGTGCAAGTGCTACCAATCGTGGCCCTTCAGCGAGTAAAACAGGCAAGACAGAACACTCTTATTAGGACTTAAGATGCAATGCACAGGTTTTATATTGGGAGCTAGGGGTCTTCTACATGCACAGCAGACAATTAGTCTCCTTTCAATGGCTACTCTCGTTTATCCATAAACGGCTCCTTAGTCGCAACCAAGACCAGAAGAAGCTGTGGTGCTCACACTAGGACCCAAATGCACAACCATTAGAAGAGAGTCTTAAACATCCACAAAGCATGTTTGTCCAGGCTCCTAGCTAGTGCAAGGTAAACAAAAGATGCCAAATGTAATCATAAAATAGGCTTTTATTCCATAAATCAGTGTTTAAAGTATCTGTTCATCTTGAGACACTTTGTCAGATACAATGAAAGTTCTCTGCTTAGCGAAGATGACTCGGAACAGATTATAAGCAGTCAACACAAATGTACTGAATCCCACAAGCAAGATAGCTGATGTTTCATTATGGTTCCGGCCATACACACAAGCTCACACCGTTCTGTGCCTTGGGAAGTATTTTCTGCAGGGATCTCTACGTTCATGGTCACAATTCTGTTGAAGGAAAAGATTAAAATGACACAAACATACAAATATTGGGGAAAGCTATATGTTCTCATCCAAGGGGAAGAGGCAAATCACACAAGTGACAAAATAAACCTGTCACCTTTAGAGAGAGAGAAATCAAAGAGTACATAGCTAACACCATACAATTAAAGGAATTATTTGCACATAATAGAATGCATAAGCTGAGAATACAGAAAAGAGTTACTGAGCTTGGGTGGAAGCCAAAAGTAAACATTTGCTTCTGCAATACACCATTACTATTTGTAATCTTAACATGGGTTAAAAAGAATAAAGGCTATATTGACTTGTAACATCAAAGTGAAACAAGTTGTCATCCTAAAATAGTAATTATATCCAGGGAGGTGAAAACTAGCAAATTGCATATTTTACATACTAATACCCAAGTAGACAGCTACAGATCAAACAGCTGTATGAGCAGAACCAGCTGTCATAACTTTTCTCTGCCCTTCTGCCCCCCGCCCCCAAATCCCCATTGGTGGTTGTCCTGTATAGCTATGAGTGTAGGAAGGAATCACCTGAACCAAGGCAGTAGACAAAGCTACACAATGCGGTATTTTTAAGTGTTTCCCAAGCAGCATGGGTTTAAGCAGCCACATCCCTCCAGAAGGATGTCAACCAAACTTAAATCACCCTATGCAGAGCTACTTCTGAGATCGCATTCTTTTTCTGTGCAAAATGCCTGGTTTCTCATTTAAGCAGAAAAATATTAGCAACTTTGCCTGACCAGGCTCTTAGCTATCCATTCCACTGACAGGCATCCAGGGACCTCCTTACAAAGACCATTCTACAATGCTAAAGCTTATTACCACACATAGAAAACTGCTTCCTTAGACTCCAACAATGAAAGCAGGAAGCCAGGTGAGCAGACCAGTTTCAGCCAACAAGCAAAAAACAAAACAAAAAGCCAGCAATGAAAATCAGTCCAGCTGCATTTTCATTTGCTGCTACTTGCGGTGAAGATGGAAGAATAGGTGTCTTTATTCTACACAGGCAGAGCTTTACGGAGGAAAAACACACTGGGATGCCTATGATTGGATTTTACTTGTGCGCTGGACTAGCTCCGTAAGGATTAGCACCTGGAGAATGAGTTCACTATCACCATATTTGATTATGCAATTCTGACACAACAAAGCACAAAAGGCAACATGAAAATTAAGAGGAGGGAAAAACCTTCACACTACATAGCTAGCAAATATTGAGAAACTGTCTTACCTTTCCAGATGGCTTGGTGATTAAACAAAGCACTGATTTCCAAATGCTCTCTGGAACGGGATGGTAAGCAACTTGAAAGGCACCTGGCAAATAGCAAAAAGAAGTTACATTTCTAGAAAGCCTGGCTGTTTTTCACCCCTAGGCATTCCCTCTGCTCCAACACTTCTGCACAATGGCAATAATCTGTATTCTAAGTTGCCTGGTTCAATAAATTATAGTAAAATGCTCCAGCTGACAGTGCCTATTCCTTCTCTATACTGCTGTCATTACCAGTCTAGACCCTCATAGCTCAGTCGGTAGAGTGTGAGGCTCTTAATCTTAGATCCCTGCCTTACAGGGTTCGGCTAGATGATCCTCGTGGTCCCTTCTCTACAATTCTATTATCAATGTGCACATTATTGCTTTCAGCATTAAAGGGCATCAACTGGTAATATAAAGTTTTCTTCTAGTTGTGGCTTTATGGAGCTAGAGTACTGCTCTGGAGAGGCAGCAGCAATTGAGAGACCAGAACCTGGGGGAAAACAGGAGGAAGGTGCCTGAATCACTGTTTGCAAGACAGATTGTTTTCCCAGGGGTGGAATGCTCAGGCTAGAACAAGTATTATACCTTTGACATTATCATAATCCAAACATTCACAGCAGCATGTAAATTATTTATGATGTATTAGTTTTAAAATGCATTTTAAAA